CGACGCCGTGCCGCCGGGCGAGGGGTCTGGGGGCTAGGGGGGCTTACGCGCAGGGGCACTATACCAATGGCGCCACTTATCCGAAATGGGCGCCAGTCGCCAGCTTCCTTCGGCGTTCGCTTTGTGTTAGAAATTGTTTGACTAATCATCCAAATGTCTCCACCTCACCGTAAGGATTGATTTATAATTGAGAATTATATTCCGTTAATAGAAACAATAATAATATTTATCCATGTATTAACAAATAGATGTACAAAATAACAGATAAAGTCGACACGTTATATGAATAATAGTATAATTTTGAATTCGACTAGCATTTGATATCGTCAACGCGTAATAAAAAAAATATTTTTTTAAATGTGTGTTCGGTTTATGTTCTACATTAAAACCAAATTAAAATCCATTAAGACCTTTTGGGGATTGGTAGTAACAAAGATCTATCTAAACTTTCGCAATTATATTACCGTTTGCATAGTGGTATAACTGCACGGATATCCTGATAAACGTAATTCAATTGTTATTTATACTAATGTTATATAAAAAGGAAAGATTTGTATTTTCGTATGTATTGAAATAACGTAAACACAACTGAGTAACATAGGCCACTTTTTTTAATTATTTTTTTAATTTCACAGGGACGAAGTAACAAGCAACAGTATAGGATATGTTCGTAATATACCAGTACTTTAAGTAGGGAGTATTTAAAGTGATGGAAACCTTTCGATAGCGGCTTTAGAGTGTTAATGCACGTGTTATCGTTGGTCCCGAGCACGGCGGGTGACAGTCGCGCCACTAACAAATCTCTCAGCCACTCTCTTACTGATTATTGGACACCATATTTCACTAATCAAGTCATAGGTTAAAATCTTATTGTTACGTTATGTTAGAAATAAAATACTACGAGTACTTTCACCTTGCCATTGGAGTTTCACATGCAATGCAGTTGTGTGAAGTTACCAGGTAGCTATTACGTGTGCTTATCATTGTGATATAATTGATTACGGGACATTGTGTTAAAAATAGATACGGTATCGCTTTAGCAACCGCCTTGTGCGGCGCAGTGAATAACCGCAAAACATACAGGCAAGAGATGCTAATGATTAAAGTCGAACACTGAAACGAATGTTTGAAACTTCGCGTAAGCGCTGCAGAGACTCTCATTGACGACATTTTTATGAAATTCTACTTTTCCTGTAGCTTTGAATTGCTGGAACATATTTAAATGTCGTTTCAATAATCTAAAGTTAAAGTTTATTCACTCAAGATGTTTGTTTGTTAGTTTGGTGTTTCTCCTACAATTTCGAGGAAATATGCCAATTTTCAAACATTGAATCCTTCACAAAGACTAGATACTTGGAAGGGTTCTAAAAAATAAAATGCTAATTGAAAAATGTCTGCCACGGGCCCTCCCATAGGCTGAGTTTCTCTATCTCCGGTAGGGTCTGCGCCGCAGGCGACGCTCAGAGCGCTCAGAGCGACAGCCGCGTCGCCCGGCCGGCGCCGGCGCCCCGATAACGTTCCGATAACGTTAATGGATACGCGCGTTATCACCGCGCGCCCGATACCACGCCGAATCACTTAAAAACAAGCCGCTCTCGAGCCAAAAACACCCGAACACCCTTGCCCCTAGCACCGATTATCCCCCGCCGTGAACGACCTGCCACCGCGCTCCGGTCAATGGGTTCCGAGAAGCACGTGAGAAAAGATGCTGTGCATGTTAGGTACAGTCGCGGAAATTTACAGTGTTGTGCAGTGAGTTATGCAAACGAAGGAATAATAATAATTAACCATGTACCACTGACCAATATTTTTTTCGTACACACATTTAAAACCTGCGTACTATTTGATATTGCTCCGTATCGTAGTCACAATGTTGTACTAAACGTTGAAACGAATTTACATTTTCACACACCGCCAGAGTTCCCCACTGTACAGTATGCTTACTTGAATAAACTTTTGATGAAGCTTAGTTTTTACCTTTTGCTTAAACATCTTAATGTTTCTATAATGTTCACAAATTCTACATGTTTCATAAGCATATTAAAAACTTACTTCCTTATAAAATAATTTATTGTAATAATTTACGTAGCGTCGGTGTAAAAGACTGGCGCCGATCAGTCATTAAGTCAAAATAACTTCCGCTCTTGTCATCAGGTAAATCAAATTATAATTAAAAATAATGCGAGTACAAAAACGGGTCGAAACAAAAGAGTCATGTTTTCCGAATGGCAACAACATTAACAAAACCCTGATAACTATCAAAAAAAAGTATTGTGTCAATTAAAACGTAAATGAGATATTAAGTAGACGGCTTATATCCAGTAAATCAGCGAAATTTGTCGATGTCACGGTTGATAAGGGAGGGTTGAATTAAGGAGGGTTATCACGCGAAGACAAGGGTTATGGGAAACCCTATGATGAACCTGGAGGGAATCCCGAAGGCGAGCCTCATGCGCATTGATTATGGCGGGATTTCCTGTGACGCGCTGCAGGTTCACTCCCGATTAGCATGCAGATCTGGGATCGGATAGTTGCACATTTATACATGCCAATAGGTTATGAAACATGCACTAAAATCCTACAAGAATCGACGAAACTATTAAAAAAATATATAAAGCTTACAATGTTAAAGTAACACGTTAAGTGATAGTGAAGAAACCGGTGACTACACACGGATTCTTATACATCTCACGGATTATCAAAACACTACTCTAATTACAGGAAGCAAGTAATATAGTGGTCTTCACAAGTCCGGATGAACCACGCACATTAAATAACAAGAATCTACTTGATAAGGAAAAGTTGTAGTAAAATGCATCAGAATTTATATTTTTTTATATGTATTGATATATTTTAATAAATACAACGGAGATGACAAAATCACGCTTTACAAACATCCAAATTTAGACATAGATATGTCTGACAATGGAGATAAAACAAGAAACAATACGAGATTATGCAAAAAGGCTTCATTGTTTAAAGGTCATAATGTACAAATAGGTAAGTGCCTAGTTTGTGGGAACTAAAGTTAGCTAAATAGAATTAGAAGACAGTCTTTCCAAATCACTCAATCCATCGATTGT